AATTTATGTAGTAACTTAACCAATATTTCATTAATATCATAGCATGTATTGAATGATTGAATGATGCATTTGTTATCAAAATCATGGTGTATTAATTATTGTGTTTGATATTACTTCATTTACTTGATCACTAGATGAAGTTGTAAGGTAGTTTGAGCAATTATTGAGAAATTGTTGTACTTACTAGACCGAAATGATTGATACCCTAGGTTTGTATAGTATACTATGCGCGTTTAGGTGATATAGAGATATACACCTACCCTAGGTGACCCTTTGAGTATTTTCACAACAATTTAATGAAATTGGTTATGTTTTTATTGACATAAAGATATGCGGTACAATTTAATCAATTAGGGTTAATATCACTCGAGAGAGGTTATTGACTAAAATTGGAAAATCGGGTCTAACTTTGTACTTTGGTAATTTTCATCGACTCGTTATTGGATTGATATTAGTGAAATAAAGGTTAATCGAAATCCTAAATTCTAACCACGTTTTTCTTCCAAAATTTCCAAATGTATTTGTGTTTCTTATTTTGTAGATTTTTAGTTTATTTACCGTTTTTCAAATCTTGTGTTTAATTGTGTGTTTCTTTTGATTGTTAGAATTAAATTAGTTAAAGTTGTGTAATCTAAAGTATACATTCATCGTGGGATCGACAATCCGGACTCAAAAGGTCCACTTTCCTACTTGAACGCGACCCGTGCGCTTGCGTTGTATTTTCAGCGGACATGTTCCTCTCCTTTTTTCCTCTTTATTTAGTGGGAATAATGAATATAAATTTTTATTCTGCATTGGCAGTGTTCAAAATAATCACAATAAAGTTGTCTTACTCACAACTCTTACATTGTTTGCTTTGATCCACCTTAACAAAATCAAAATTCATGCTCATTTTAGCTAAATTTTACAACGTGGTTTATCTTATGGGTTTGAAACTGAAAATGCGAATAATTTTACAAACAAATAATAAACTCTTCTATAATCTGTTTGGATGCCACTGTTTTTTAAAATTGTCTTAGCCTTTGTTTGGTTCTCATTATTTTCAAAATACATTTTTTTTTTCAATCATACATTTTTCAATACAATAATATTACATATAAATTCAAAATATTTTCTTATTTTTTAACTAAACATTCTCCATCAAAATACTATTTCAAAATACATTTAATTTGGATAAACAATGAAGCTTAAATAGGTTCTTAATCTTTATATAAAAATAAATTAGGTTAATAACGCACTTGTATTGAACCAACTGAATTTGATCTATAATAATATGCCAGATTAGAAATGGTTGCGTATGAGAAATTCTATTAATTTTCTATTTTATGTAGTCAATCATATCAATATGTCACAATTGTCTAAATGGCTAAAAATATAAAAAAGGCATTTTTATCTTCAATAATGCTATATATACATCCGGGTGTGTGTACAAGAATTGACACCCTGTATGATGCCCTTTCACACGAGGGTGTCAACCGCCCGGATAATCCCGCCCCCCTTATGTGAGGGGGTGTCAACCCCCCGGATGTACATGATTATTTTTCTTAACCCGCTCCACTACCTTTTTGTCCTTTGATTTTTCAGGCGTTGAAGATTTAGCTCTCCTTCTGGGTCATGGCCTTCAGTAACCTCATTCTTCGATTGGAATTTGGCTTGTTAATTCATAGTTTTCTTGTATTCAGTCATCTGGGCATTCTTGCAATTTTACCTTGAGCTTTCAACCATTTACTTGCAGATGGATTCTTTGGGGATTAATATTTTTTCTTTAATTTGTGTTTTTTAAGGAACCTCTGGGTTCTTTAATTTTTCTTAACTGTTATGTTTTTCATGTTTTATTTTCTTTGATGGGTGAGTATGACGTTCTTGTAAGCAAGCGTGATTTTGTTCAGGAGGTACTTAACTATCATGCATTAATAAAATTACCATATTCGTGGCTTGCTAGCTTAAAAGAGAATTGCACGACTCAATTTCATTTCTACAATTTGATAAATCTTGGTGGTGTTTATGATTCTCCGTAGGGAACAAGAGAGAGGAAAAGAGCCAACCCCCATTCTCTGTTTGAAACATTTCTGAAAACAAGTAAAAAAATTTAGATGGGGAAGAAACTATAATTAGACCATATTCTTACGTGCTTACGTATAAAATTTTTGTAAATGAATGGTAACGTGATTTGAACCCAATCTATTCGTGTTCTAGTATGACATACATCCTCGTCATCTAAAATTTTAGGCACTTACAAAGAGATTTATTTATTCATATATTTATGTTCAAAGGTGACTCCACCAATACCCTAAGAGACATATTGCAAAACTATGGCACTCCCAACCAGCACCTAGTTAAAATTATTTTGTATTTCCAAGCTCTTATTCTTTTGTTTCCTTTGATATTGTCTAAAAAACATGTATACAATATTGTGTATATAGAAATAAGTTCAAAAAACCTAATTCTAAAATAGTAACTGAAAGGAGTCCTAACTCCTGTGAAGGTTTTTTCTCCCTTCCGCGGTTTCGCTAGTGAAGGCTTTCTTCCCTTCCGGTGGGTCTCTTCCGTGAAGGTTTTCGCCCCTTTCTCTTAACCTTCTCTCTTTCCTCTTCCCTAACCCATAACCCTAACCCTTACCCCTCTCTTGCGCGAGCTCGCCGGGGGGTGGGAGCTTCGGCTCCCACCACCCCCTGATTTTCTTTCCATGTTTTTCCTTTTCCGTCTTTTCTGTTGGCTGTGGTCTGTTGAGTTTTCGCAGGCTTGGCTTTGGGCGGTGCGGTAGTTGGACCGGTTGGCTTGGGTGGTTGTCTTCGCGGAGCTTCGGTTGGTGGGAGGGGCGAGTGAGGTTTGGCTTGAGTCTCGTGCGGTCGGAGCTGGCGGAGGTTTCTACTGTCGGGCACGGCCGGTTGGGCTTTTTTGGCTGGATTCTAGTGATGGCCCTGGGGTGGTGCTGGGGGTGTGTTGTGTGTGTGTTGCTTTGTTAGTGTTGTTTTGGTGGTGTTTGAATTTTAGTTGTTCTGCTGGTTGTTTGGTGTTTGTGGTGTCTGTCTTGAGTCGTTTTGTTTTTCAGATTGTGTTGGTTTCGTTTGTTGGATTTGAAGTCTAGACAATGCCCGTTACTTCGTGTGCGGGGGGGCGTAAGTGCTGATTGCGAAGCTGGCTTTCAGTCGGGAATTTCTTGCACTGTAAAGTCACAGATGTTTTTAGACTTTTCGTGGTGGCGTCTGTGTTGGGTCGTGTTTGTATTCGTGGTCTGGTTTGTATGTTGTTGTGTCCTGTATAGTTGTGGTCTTGCTGCGCTAGGATAGCACTTAATCTCTCTAAGGAGGGCGTTGTGTTGGAGGTTCTTCTCCTTGTATCCGCTTTGTGCGTTTTTAATGGATTTGCTATTTACATTAAAAAAAAAATAGTAACTGAAATGGGAGTCTCCTCTCTACTTTCTCTCTCTAGAAAAGCAGAGGTGGTGCGAAGTGTGCGAAGTCTGGGGATTTTCTTCTTGGAGAGTATACACAAAAACACAAATCTTCCACAGTAATTAGTGTTGTGCCAAAGCCTACTCTACTTTCTCTCTCTTGGAAAGCAGAGGTGGTGCGAAGTTTAGGTTTTCTTCTTCGAGCATCTTTTTCGAGCGCCTGGGTGAGTGCTGCCATGGAAAAAGTGCAGGAAATGCGGGGGAACTTGCGCTTGAACGCAGAGGAGGAGGAAATAGTTGACATAGATGGAAATGGAGTCGAGACGGTGATGGAGAAGGGCGATCAGAGCCTAATAGGAAAGATATGGGCTGATAGGCAGATAAATAAGGTTGTGGTTCAATCAACAATGGGGAAAATCTGGAGAATTAGCAAGCCAGCAGAATTTACAGAGATGGGTCGAAATATTTTTATGATTACGTTTGCCAATCACGCGGGCAAGATACGGGTGGAAGAGGGACGACCATGGTTGTTTGATGGATCGATATTTGTGATGAATTCATTTGAGGGCTATACACCATTGAGTGAAATACAATTTGATGTGGCGGCATTGTGGGTGCAATTCCACAATTTACCTTTTGCCGGCATGTCAAGGGAGACTGGCATCAAATTAGGGAGTTCAATGGGCAATGTGGAGGACATAGAAGTGGATGAGGACGATGTTGGATGGGGTAGTTCGCTGCGTGTGAAAATTGCATTGAATTTGCGGAAATCGTTGGGGAGGGGACGGATGGTAATGCTGGAAGGAGTGAAGACATGGGTGCCAATCCAGTATGAGAAACTCCCATGGTTTTGTATTAAATGTGGACGAATCGTTCACGAATAGATAGGATGTCCAAAATCACTGGATTAGACCATGGAGACAAAGCAATATGGCAGTTGGTTACGAGCAGAGGTGAGGAATCGCAAGTATAAAGCCTTCCCTACCTCCGGTTCAAAGCCACCTGTTATGGAAGTGGATACGGTTGAAAAGAAACGAATGGAGGGTGGTGGCCACCACGGGATTCCGGCGCCGAAAGATGCTAATCAGGCTACTGGAATTACAGTTGTCAATAACGAAGTTGGCGGGATGGGGCTAGATGCATCACCGAAAAATAAGGAATTAACTGCTGCAAATCTGGAATTGGTTGAAAAGGAACAACTGAATGAGTTAAATGGGGGATTGAATGCGGATTCTGTGGATCAAAATTCTAACAAAGGTAACTTGATGTGTGATAGGGTGATTGGGCCACCAATTGACCTAATGGGCTTGGACCAAATTAAAAACTCAAGCCCAAAAGAAGAGGCAGTGCTGGGGGCACCACAGAAACTAAATAAAAGCAAAGCCTAGTCCACTTGGAAGAAACGAGCTCGTGTAAGTATTAATTCTCCAAATTTGTTATCTGTGGCTGGAACAAAAAAGAGGATTAATGGCACTTCTGAGGATGAAAGCTCCAAGAAGAAAACGAAGGTACAATATGGCATGGGGAGGGACACGAATCAGACTTTAGGGGCTGAGTCTCTTGATTTCCAATCAAACGAATTCTTATCGGCAGAGGCTGTCCATCAACCCTGCCGGGACCAATGAATGTCTTGAGCTGGAACTCCCGTGGGCTTGGGAACCCACGGGGAGTTCGGGTCCTCTCTGATTTAGTCAGGGAACAAGATCCCATAATGTTGTTTTTGCAAGAAACAAGATTACATGATCGCAATATGTACTGGTTGAAATTTCGTTTGGGTTTTAATAACTGCTTTTCTGTAAGTAGTGAGGGTAGAAGTGGGGGAATTGCACTTTACTGGAAGAAGGATGTTACAGTTAGTATTAAAATTTTTTCAAAGTACCATATTCATGCAACAATTGAGCTAAATTCAGACGAGTTATGGTATTTCACAGGAATGTATGGTCACCCGGAAGTTAGCCGTAGGATGGAGATTGGAATCTAATGCGATCCTTCATGGTACCTAGCGATACTGGATGGCTGTTAATTGGCGACTTTAATGAGATCTTGAGTCAAGATGAAAAGAGTGGAGGGAGAGATAAACCGGATAGACAAATTCAAGCTTTTAGAGATGCTCTTGATGATTGTAACCTTGCTGATTTGGGTTTTCGTGGACCGAAGTTTACTTGGAGTAACAAGGAAATAGGGGAAACAATCAGAAGTAGATTGGATCGAGGACTTGCAAACCTTAAATGGAAATCTATGTATCCAATGGCGTATGTAAAACATGGATTCGCCGCTTATTCTGACCATACACCAATCTCCCTATTTTTGCTTGATGACTCACCACAAAAGAAAGGAGCTAAGATTTTTCGATTTGAAGCTATGTGGGCAACGGAAAAGGGCTGTAAAGAAGTGGTGGAAAGAGCTTGGAGGCTTGGTAATGCTACTAACGACATGAGTGGAATCACTGAAAAAATTAAGTGTTGTGGTGAACTCTTATCTGCCTGGAACCAACATCACTTTGGGAATGTACACAAGCAGCTGAAGCAAGCCAAGCATAAGTTGGAACGTCTGGCTGAGTTGAATCCGAGTAGACAGTCGTAGGAGACACTTAAACAAGCTAGGCTGGAGGTGAATAAGTGGCTTAAACGTAGGGAAATAATGTGGCGGCAGAGATCATGAGTCCAATGGTTAACTGAAGGTGATCAAAACACTTCCTTTTTTCACCATAAGGCATCACAGCGACGATCCAAGAACTTTATAAGAGGTGTAAGGGATTCTGAGGGTATTTGGAGAGCTAATGCAGAAAGAGACGCTGAAATTTTGGTTTCTTTTCAGAACCTGTTCACATCTCATAATGCGAGAGTCGATGTACAGTTCCTCGACAACCTGAGGGAGAGAGTGACAACCGAAATGAACGAAAAATTGGAAGCTGTGTTCACAGCTGATGAGGTTCAACAGGCCTTAACTGAAATGAATCATACAAAGGCTCCAGGACCTGACGGTATGTCTCCCATCTTTTTTCAAAAATATTAGCCTATTGTAGGAGAGGAAGTTATTTGTGTAGTGCTAAATGCTCTGAATAATGGTGTCTTCCCTAGTTCGATAAACCACACTTTTGTTACTCTTATCCCCAAAAAAAAAAACAAGCAGAGATGGTGTCGGACTACAGACCGATTAGCCTATGCAATGTGATCTACAAGTTGATTTCCAAAGTGCTAGCAAATCGGTTAAAAGGCATACTACCCAGTTTAATCTCCAAATCACAGTGTGCTTTCGTCCCAGGGAGGTTAATTTCAGACAACATACTTGTGGCATATGAGCTGATCCATTTTCTTAAAACCAAGAGACAGGGGAAAGTAGGTTTTATGTCACTTAAACTTGACATGAGTAAAGCCTATGATCGCGTTGAATGGCATTACCTCCAAACAGTGATGGAGAAAATGGGTTTTGGTGAGAAATGGATAAACTTGATAATGCTTTGTGTAAGAACGGTGTCTTTCTCTATTTTGATCAATGGTGAACCAAAGGGACCAATATATCCATCTAGGGGAATTAGGCAAGCGGACCCCATATCCCCTTATCTATTCCTGTTATGCAGTGAAGGATTAGTCTCCCTATTACAGAGAGCATCTGATCAAGGTAAGGTGGAAGGTATTAGAGTATGCCGGGGGACTCCAAAGGTCAACAATCTCATGTTTGCAGATGATAGTGTCCTATTTTGCAAAGCTACTGTCCAAACCAATACATATATTCTCCAATTATTGGAAGAGTATGAACATGCATCAGGTCAAAGAGTGAACAGGGACAAGACAGCTATGGTATTCAGCAAATCTATTTCAACAAACACCCAAAGAGAGATTCTGAATTTTTGGGGTATCAAAAACCACCAAAATTATGATAACTACTTGGGACTCCCCTCCATGGTGGGTGGGAATAGGAGGAAAGCTTTTTCAAATTTAAAGACAAAGGTATGGCAGAAATTACAGGGATGGAATGAAAAACTTTTGTCTCAGGGTGGAAGAGAAATTCTTGTTAAAGCAGTTGCACTATCTATCCCCACCTACACAATGAGTTTATTTCAAGCTTCCAATATCATTATGTAAAGAGCTGGAGAGTATGATTGCAAAATTTTGGTGGGGACAACGTAAAGAAGAAAACAAAATTCGATGGATAGGGTGGAAGAAGTTATGTGATACTAAAGGAAGGGGAGGTATGGGATTTAAAGACCTTCAGGCTTTCAATATGGCTCTTTTAGCAAAACAAAGCTGGAGAATTCTGCAAGAGGAAGGATCACTACTACAAAAGATATACAAAGCTAAATACTTTCCTCATGGACACCTTAAAGATGCAAAATTGGGAGCAAATCCATCCTATGCATGGAGAGGTATTTGGGAGGCAAGGAAGCTGTTATTTAAGGGATGTCGATGGCGAGTTGGTGCTGGAAAGGAGATAAATATTTGGACTGATCACTGGTTGCCGAACCATCGCCTTCTAAACTGCCCAGAGGGAATCACTACAAATTAAAGAAACTGGACAGTTTCAAAGCTTATTGATGAACACACTCGACGATGGGATATTGACAAGGTGTCCAGATTGCTTCACCATAGAGATGCCTATGATGTTTTCCAAATACAACTAGAATGAGGACATAACAGACCGGATGTTATGATTTGGGAACAAGAAAGAAATGGTGTATATACAGTTCGGAGTGGCTACAGATTATTTGTGAAGACTAATGGTGATAGGCAACTTGGTGAGGTCTCTTATGCTGACGATCAACGGAAAATGTGGAAGAAGGTTTGGAAAATGCAAATCCCCCATAAGATACGTGTGTTTGCATGGAGAGTTTGCCACAATGGGCTGCCAACACTCAGAAATTTACAGGCTAGGAAAGTGATAGAGGATGCCATCTGTACTTTCTGCAACAGAGAGGAAGAAGATATTAATCATGCATTATTATATTGCTCTAGGATTGAACCGGCGTTGACAGTAAAGCTGAGTTTCTTAAGAAATATTTCTGAGCAGCGGGACATTGTACATATAGTAAATCTAGTAATAAGCAGGAACATCCCCGGTGAACTGGAGGAACTATTCTTATGCTTGTGGGGAATGTGGTACAGGAGGAACAAATTCATCTTTGAACAAAAGATTTTTAATCCACAGATGGCTATTGACTATGCTCTTACAATTGCTGGTGAGTACAAATGTTCAAATAAGCAAAGACAGCAAGGGACTCATCGTAGAGAAGGGTGGAATGCTCCCCCGGAAGGGGTCCTAAAACTTAATGTTGATGGGGCTTTATTTGAGGATCAATGCAGATATGAGACTGGGATGGTTCTATGGGATGCAACAGGAAAGATGATCTTCTCAGCCAGTAAACCAGAGAGGGGAAGCATGGATCCAATGGAGGTAGAACTTCTAGCGATGCTGAGAGGCTTACAGATTTGCTTACCTTTGTCCATTCAAAATCTACAAGTAGAAAGTGATTCAATGTTGGTGGTTCAAGAAGTGACAAAAATACAAGATGAATCTTTATCCATATGGGAAAACTTGATACATGAGATTCGATTGTTACTGAATAGATTCCCGAATATTGATGTAAGACATGAAAGTCGCCTATCTAATTCAGCTGCACATTGTCTAACTAGGAATTCATGGCATCTAAATGACTTGGTAGTGTGGTGGAATGATCCTCCGGACTGTGTCTCACACATTATTAAGCATGATGCATTGATGTAATTCTTTTCAAGTTTTGAATGAAATTTGCTTTGTTATCAAAAAAAAAATAATAAGTTCAAAATGTAAATTTTATTATTAAAAACTGTTTATTTATTGGATTTTCAAATATAATTTGTGTACTCATAATAGTTCTTTATCTTTTCTTTCTAGTAAAGCACATGTGGACCATCTAGTAAAAAATCATTGTACGCTATAAAAATAAATAACCGAATATTGAGGGTTTTGGACTATGATGTCTTAGGCTCAAGTATCAGGATGACTAAGAAATCTTAGTTCAAGACTCACGGTGAGTTAATTATTTTTGTAGTAATTATATCTTTGATGTAAAAGGTTTATCGACTGATTTAACTATTTGATAAGATCCAACTGTGACTGTTTCTGAAACTGGGAAAGCAATTCTCCCGAGAATGAGACTTAAGGCAGACGTCAACTTGTAGATAATCTTGGAAATGCATAGTAGTATACATGAGATGGTTTGTGCTAGTTTTTATTTCTCTGACGAAACATTCATGAGCACACCTTGAATCGCCATCTTTAATATTTGGTTCCTCATAAGACACAACAAATTGCATCCCTCCTCGAAAAAGTTATTTCCTTACATGATTTTCTTGAATAAAATTCACAAAATAGCATAAAAAATAAAATGTTAAGAGAGTCGAATCAATGATGCAGCCTTTAAAGTATACGATACACTACAAAAAAATTAAAATTAAAATAAAAAATTGAGCTTCACCGACCAATCAAAAGTGGTTGCTATATGATACGAACACCAACCAAACATTTGTTGGTAGAGGTTTTGGCCTAGTAAATTTTGTTAAGCTTTTCGGTGACCATTTTGTAGTCGGATGATTCAGCAACCAAATGGTCACTAAAACATTTGGTGGGATGTGTCTCGCGAAATTTTCAGCGACCAATTAATGTGGTCGCTGAATATGATCTGCCTTCAGTGACCATTTGTGGTCACTGGTGTGACTCTTCAATGACCATTTTAATATGGTCGTTGGTACACTTGGCAGTATAAGGCACGCACATTATTTCAGTTGTTTTAGCGACCAATAAAAATAGTCGCTGATTATGATTTGCTATCAACAATCACGTAATAGTCGCTGGAACTCTTGGCGGAATTAGTCCTACTCATTTTTTCGGTTGTTTTAGCTACCAAATAATGTGGTCGCTGAATATGATTTGCCTTCAGTGACCATTCCTGGTCGTTGGTGGGACATTTCAGCGACCAATTTCGTATGGTCGCTGGACCATTTGACACTAGTTATAATGATTTCTTGTAGATGTTTTTCACCATTTATAACGAACGACCACGTATTGGTCTCCGGTTCTATGAGTCCAACCAAATATTTGGATAAAAATCTGTTTGACCAATTATAAATAATTTATAAACGATAGCCAATAACAACGGATTGTTTTCAAAGCTTATATGAAAAATATATGCTTTATTTTTCATATTATGAGACAAATAAGCTAATCGATTTGTGTTAGCTGCATGCGAACGTACCACAAAAATTCAAAATCAAATCGATCTATCCCAAGCTCCACTATTGGTCCTTTTGACTTCAATTACCCATTTCTGCTTGCTTTACATAAGTACACTACCTTGAGTAAAATTAAACTCTGGACTTGGTCACAACTTCTATTTATGAGACTATTAAATAATCGAGCAAGCTTTCCAAGAAGACTTGATTAAGCATTAAATCTAAAAGAAAGTACTTGAACGTATTTTTATGCCTTATCTTAAAAGTTACCTACCATTAAGTCTGTAAAAAGGGTTTTATAAACGTTTGCTTATGCAGATCAAACTTAGTTTATCATCATTTTTTTTCTCCAGAAATGGAGTTCCCAAAAATCTT